TCTCCTACCTCTTTTGTCTGTAACTCACTATTATTTGTCTATTTGTTTTCCTGAGAAACTATTTTGTAGACAATAATATGTAAAATGATAACCATCGATAATTTCCTACCATTTTGTCTGTAATTTGCTAAGTCCCCCCTATTATTATGTTATCCTTCTTTTATTGTTTAAAATAAAAAAAAAAATTTAAAATAAGCCCACCAGGCCAGGTGTGGTGATGCACACCTGTAATCCCAGCACTCAAAAGGCTGAGGCAGGAGGATCGATTCAAGTTTGAGGCTAGCCTGAGCTACATAGCAAGTTCAAGGCCAGCATGAACTACATAGTGAGACTGTCTCAAAAAAGAAAAAAATAAGCCCACTGAAAACAGAAATCCAAAGATTATAATACACAATGGAGGTAAAGTTGGGGTGAGAATCAATTTTTTCAAATGAAACAAAAAAGGAATTGTGTAATACTGAAAGTTATGTTTCACAACTAACTTTGTTATAGGGTTAGTCTGTGAAAATCCAAGGAGCAGCATTCCTATGATGTGTGCACTTTTCTGTATATAAAGACGTTTTAAATGGCATTAAGAGCAGGGTGTGGACGCACACACAGCCCTCCACGCTGAATGATCCAGCGATTGTTAGTACAATATACGATGAAACGAAACCATGACCTTGTAATCCCAGCTACTTAGGAGGCTGAGGCAAGAGGATTGGGGAATCAAGAGTTCAAGGCCAGCCTGGGCAATTTCCCCAGACAGGAAGAGCCATAACCGAGCTGCGAACAAGTTACAAAAATCAGAAGCCTCCGCTGTACAGGGGCTCTCGGGTCCCCTGGGACTTGTCTTCCTTAGTGTCACCACCCTGGAGCTGGCCAGTGAGTTCTCATTCCTTACCAGGAAAAGGCCTCACGAAGACACCCACACACACAGCTACCCACAGGTCACCTCCCAAAGGGCAGGGCATTTTGTATGTTGCTGAATCCCCTCTGCCTAGAGCAATAGCTGGCACACAGTAGGTTCTCAAAATATGTTTCTTAAGTGAATAAACATGAATGAAGAGAGGAATGGTCCTAGAAGAAGGGAGGGGTGGAGTGACAGACTGGTAAACATCAACATTTTTCAACACCACCTGGCTAACATGTTCACATTTCACAGGGACACAGAGACAAGCACTGTGGGGGACCAGAGGGTGAATAATGCCTCCTGGGGTATGTCAGGACAGCCTCACTGAGAAGAAACATGGGAGCTGGGCCTTGAAGGATGCATAGGAGTTTGCTGGAGAGACAAGGCAGGGGAATGGGATAGATAGAAATGAACATAGACAAAAGTACATTGTCCTGAAAAAGCTAGTGTTCTGGGGACACGAAGAAGACGCAGGCAGCAAAAAATTCAAGGTCAGGTTCACAGGCGAGGACAGGTGTGAAATGAAATGGGAGAGGTAAGCTGGGGGTAGATGGAGCGGCCAAGACCTTGAACTGCCTTCCTGCAGGAATCACAGCCGAGAGGTGACGTCAAGCAAGGCTCAAACGCGCTTTATAGGTTGTTCACTCGGGCTGGACCGGCCTGAGCCCAGGGGCCTTTCCTCCGCCGCACCCGCATCTCCTCTCCTCTCCGTCTCTTTCTCCGCACTCTTCCCTTCCTTCCACCTGTCTCCACGCACTGTCCCGTCTGCATCTCCCATCCGCCTGTGGGGTTCTTCCAATTTTTCTCTCAGACCCCACTCCCGGAAGACAGCCCTCAACCTCCCCACCTTAGCTGCCCAAACAGCTTTCAGATTCTTCGCCAGGATCCCCACCGCACCCCCCAAAAGGCTTGGGGGTCCCAGAAAGAAGCGACTCAGGCCTTTCTAGGGACCGATCGGCTCCTGGGGGGCTCCCCGGGGTGCAGAGGAGTCCGGAGGAGGGGAATCTCGCAGCTGCCTCTCCTGCGCCCAGGGTGGGTGGGCACCAGCCTCGGAACCCACGGGCTGTAACACGACACTTCCTGCCAGACCTCGGAAGGCTGGGCCAACGGCTGAGAAGCCACCATCCTTCCAGTCTAATGCGCATGACTCATGCTTCTGTCCTCCTGCTCGGAAATGCTTCCTGGCATCTGCCGCTGTCCCCAAAGGCTCGGCCTCGCCCCCGCAACGAGCCTGGGCCACCTCTGCGGGACAGTTCTCTCCCCTGAGACAAAGGTCAAGCTGCTCTTCTGACCTTAGAGGGGCGCAGGAAGGACCCGCCCCCCCCATCTCTCACAGCGGGGCTCTAATTAGGTTTGTTAACATACAGTTGATCGTAGTCCTGTTGACTGGGAACTTAATCACGTTACTATTGAGTTCCTGTACGCATTGCTTGGGGTGACTGTTTTACTTGTAGAGTTACAGCCAAGCCCAACGGGAGGAAATTAGCTTTGGACACAAGTTTGGAGGGGGGCTCTTTTTTTTTTTTTCCTCGTGACTTCGTCTCCCTCCCCCCACTTCCATGTGAAAATATTTAGCAAACAGTGACAATGATGAAAAACAGTAGGAAACAAAATGTTCTACATTAGTATAAAACATGAAAAATGCAGCCAGGACCCTTAGCGGTACAACATGTGTTATGCTGGTTGGCAGTCCATTAGCTCTGATAGACATTTCACTTACCTAAGTCAAATATAACAGTCTAGTATTCATTAATATAAGAAGGGGCTGTGGAATCAGAGCTACCATCTGGCTGGGCCGACAGAATAATCTACAACTCATGATTAGGTCTAAGGAGTGGGGTTTCACTTTAATCTTTCTCATTGCTCGAAATTTCCATCTGCGCAGTTCGGCACATCATTTTTCTTCAAGACAAATGTGCTGTTTTTCATGTTCCAAAATTAGATCAGAAGAAAACGATTAATCATGTCACGGCCTGGGAAAGGAAACAAAGCTCGATATTCTCCCGCTCTCCGGCACCCCCAGCCCCAGCCCGCCCCTCCCCGGACCCGGAGGATTGCAAGTTTTGCCCCCAACCCCCAAATCTAGGTTTTGGGGCAACTTGGGGGACACAGCCACCAGCCAGGAGCAGGGTGGGATTGCAGACAGAGGAGTCGGGGTGCCCCGCCCCACACCGGGGGTCACCTCCTGGTCGGGCCCATTGCACCCCACCCTGGAGTCGGTATGGGGGCGCTGCCTTGCCCAGAGTGACAGAAAGGGCCGGAGCCCGCGTCCCGCGTCCCTGTCTGTCTGTCAGCCGGTTCTCGCAAGTCATAACAAATCCCTGGCGCGGAGCTGAAGCCGAGCTTTGCTGGAGCGTCATGGGGATGATGAATGACCCGCAGGCCTTTGAAGTGCTCTGCCAGTTCAGCTGGGTCCGCCGCGCTGACAGAGAAATATACACAACAGCGTAACCAATAATGAGAACATTAAACATTCCTGCGCAGTGACAGGCTGACAGAAAAGCCCGGGCCCGCATCAATCATCGCACAGATAGAAGCCTGACAGGGGCCCCTCACCCGCACCCGCCCTCAGCCCCCCGGGCCCCTCCTCCTCCTCTGGGGTCTCCCCGCTTTGGTCCTCTCCCCGAAGTCCCTCCTGCTGCCCCCTCCCTGTGGCCTGGCCTCCTTCCCCGCCTTCTCTCCCCTGCCCAGGGTCCCCCGGCCTCCTGTGGCCACCTTCCGGGCGTCTCCAAGGTCAAGGGAGGTTCGGGTCACTTCCATTTGGTGAGGCAGCCCCTGTGTGAGGCCATGAGGAGACCCCACATCTGAGTGACAGGAAGTGTGACAGCCTGAAGTTTATACTCAGCAATTGGTGGCTTTTTGTGGCTGCAAAAGAATAATACACTCACTGTGTGCAGAACCTCATTTGGAATTTTTGTGGAATTTTTGTTTTTTGAGACGGTCTCATCCCGTAGTTCAGGCTGGACTCAAACTCACAGTGCTCCCCCTGCCTCAGCCTCCCAAGTGCTAGGATTATAGCTGGCTCATTTAGAAATATTATGGGAAGTGTAACACCAGACTGCGAGGGGGAGCAAGCCCCTTTTTTTCCATCTCTGCACGGGGAAGGTCTCGCTGGGTGTCTTCCTGTGTGACTTTGGCAAGAAGCCCTTTTCTTCGTGCCTGGGCCTCTTTCTGTTCAGCTGGACTTATCAGACAGGATCTGATTTCTGGTCTGTCTGAAAGGGAAAAAACAGCAGAGAAACACAAAGATCTCTTCCTTTTCCTCCACCAGGAAATGAAATCTGCCCAGATAAGACACACTATGTGGACCTGCAGCCCCTTCCCTGAAGAGACCCTGAGCGCTCATGACACTCTCTGGACTGGCTTTGGGCCGCACCGCGCTGGGCTGAGCCGCTACCCCTTCCTTCTGCACAGGGATGTCCCTGCTGCCAGACTCTCTCCCCACGAGCCAGTGGGGGCACCTGGAAGAGCCCAGGGTGGTGGCCAGAAGCTGGGGTTCAAGTCCCAGCCACAAGGTTGGGCAGGACCTCAAAATGAGAACAGTCTTTGCAAGTCCTCACCCAGAAGACTCTGTTTATATTCCCCCAAGTGCAGAGGTTATTCATTCTTTTTTCCTTCAACAGTTTTCAGTTTTGTTGCAGGGGATATTTTGGGATTTTCCCCCATTCTTTGGTTTTTGAGGAAAAAAGAAGCTTTCCATAAAATCATGAAAAACTCCCAACAACACATACACACACGTGCACATGTACACACACACGGTGAGCAGAGAGGAGAAAGGCCACCCTGGGGTCGCCCAATGACAGAGGTGTCTGGGGGGGTCAAGGAGGCCAGTGCTGCACCCCAGAGTGAACGTGACCCTTCAAGGGCGTCACCAGCACGTCTGCAGAGCCAGCTGAGGTGTGAGGGGAAAGCCCGTCGACCAATACCTGCTCTGCTCTCCAGACTCTCTCCCTTCCTTTCTGCCCACCTGGAAGGCCAGTGTCATTCCCACAGCCAGCAGGAAGCTTCTCTCGTTTGCTCTGACCCACACTGACCTTGCCCTCCTCTCATGGCCAAGGACACACACACACACACACACACACACACACACACACAAACACGCAAGAGCATCTTGCCTGAGCAACTAGATTGAGCCAGGGGCAGCATGGTATTTTTTTTACAGTTCTCCTAGTCCCCTAACACTAGGCCTGCTGAAGGGAAAGATCCCAGAGGCCACATTTGTGCTACACAACTATAACCACAGCCATGGCCAAGCAGCCCCGTATTTAACACCTGTCCCTGCAGCCAATCAGACTCTCCCATGTTCAAAGGCAAGCAGAAGAATGAGGAAGTGGTGGGGAGTAGATACGAGACACCAGGTAGATCCAAGAGAGACAGCACAGCTTCAGTTCCCGACTTACCAGTTCCTATTCCCTGCAGCCTGCTTGTGTTCTTCCCTTAGATGCCTGTGAGACAGCAGGCTGCTGGAAAAGACATATGACCCACCAGTCATTCATTGCATCCCATCTTCCTGCCTAAGATGACTGGCTCAGGGGTGGTCATGTGACCAATGTCAGGCCAATCAGAATCCTTCCCTAGGATTTTATACATTGATTCTGAAAGAGAGATGCTCTTCGTCCCTACTGGATTGTGTGCTGTAAGTCTCTGATGACAAATCCAGATGACATTTTCAGGTCCTTGTATTGAGTCAGGCCTGAAGCCTATTCCTTCCCAGCACATGAGCCTATGTACTCTCTGTCTTATTTAAAATAGTTTTAACTTTATTTCTGTCTCTTGCAACCCAGAGAGTGCTCATATTAGTATTCAGGGGACATATCAAGTTTAGAAGGATTTCTCTAAAGTCAGTAAGTGATTTTACCCTTTTTTGTGCACGTGCACATGAATAAGAGCCTAGCAAGTCACAGGACAAGGAGGGCTGCAACCAGCACTCTCGGATCCGCTCCTCCCCGAAGCGTCCCCTGTGACCTCACCTGCTAAGAGTCCGTCTGAGCAGCTCTCTGTAGGGATCAAGCTGTTCCCAGATCAGCCCAAGTGACTCAGAGTCCTGAGCCTGATGAATGGTACTTTCCGGTCTCTATGATTTGTCCCCATTCCAGGCAAAGGGGGACAGGTACTGAGTGAGTGGCAGCCCTCCCAGCCTCTGAGTGAGGCCACTGGGCCTGGGTCCCTGCTGGACCAGCAGGGAGCCAGGGATCAAGCCAACCCCTCATCTACCTGGGCACAGCCACGGGTTCCGCTCTTCAGACGCCATCCCCACCCCTTGCCCAGGCAGGGAGTCGCTGTGTAGCGCAGGCTGGCCTCAGACTCCTGGGCTTCTTCCCTCTTCCTGCCTACGCCTCCTGAGTAGCTGGAACTGAAGGCACGCACCTCTGGGCCCAGCTCAGACACAGTTCTGACCTCAAAAGCTCAATGTGGGGCCAAAAACACATCTCTGGGTGTTTGTCCTCATTGCAGTCCTGGTCTGACGGCAACACGCCAGCACAAGTGTGAGAGGGCAGGTGCAGTGAAGCATGACTGGGGGCTTTTGGTTGGCGGCAACCTCAAGATGATGAGGGTGACGGCGATTCTTTAAAAAAAAAAATTAAAACAGCAAGCCAGGTGAGGCTAAAGCATCCCATTCAAATAATGCTTTAAGAATTCTGAGAGGGGGGCTGGGGATTTAGCTCACGGGCAAAGCGCCTGCCTGGCAAGCACAAGGTCGTGAGTTCAGTTCCCGGTACCGGAGAAAAACCAAAAAAAAAAAAAAATTCTGAGAGGGGCCAGGGGTATAGCTCAGCGGTGTAGCACCTGCCTGGCAAGCACAAGGCCCTGAGTTTGATTCCCGGTACCAATAAATAAATAAATAAAATTATATAAAAAAAGAATTCTGGGAAACTGGCATGAGCAAAGGTGCTGAGCAGCCGAAAAATCCAGCCTTGGAGGAACAGGGCAAAGCCCGCTCCTGTCAGCACAGAGAGGGCCGGCTTTCCACCAAACAGCTGGGCACCTCCGGGCACAGCCGAGCACACAGCGCTCAGCAGTGTGTGCTCCCTTCTATCTGTCTGGTCTTCGTTGGTCAGGGGCAGAACCAGAACCAACGAGGGGACCTTACAGAGAAGCAGCTTTATCACAGTCGAAGAATTTTCGACAAATCCAACCATGCACAACTGGAGCGGCCCTTTGTGAGGTAATGATCTCCCCGTTGCTGCAGATATTCAGCACACCAGGGACGCTATGGAAACAATCTCCAAACTGAGTGGATGCTGGGCTTTGGGGACCTCTTCCAATTCAGTGACCCTGGCAGCCTCTGTTATTCCCTCTGTGACAACCGCTCTCATCTTCCTAACCATATACATAGGTGTGGCTGGATTCTCCAAAGCTGGGGCCAGTGGTGTTTTTAACTAGAGCTGTTGCACCACCTTTGGCCTCATAAATGAGCTCCAGCCCACCAGGCAGCTCTCAGAAGTACTAAGGCTGCGGGAGCTGTGCCCACAGGGAAGGCACAGCCCACAGGGCCCTTCACTCGGGCCCTCACCCCATCACCCCGGGGCAGTGTGTCTGCCACCCCTCCCTCTATGGCGACTCACAAGGGAGCCAGAGCAGGCCGCCAGCACCTCTGTCCGTGCACACAGCCTCTATCGCCCCTATGTACACAGAGCATGGAAGGTACGGATGCCTGGAAAGGGGAGAAGCTACATGCACAGAAAAGTTTAGGGAAGATACTCTTTGTTCTATTTCTCATGCCAGTTTCTCAAAATTCTCATGTAGACCCTACGCACAGGTTCAACATTGGTGCAAATTATCACAGGTCTTCAGTCTTTCCTCTTTTATCCTGAGAAGTTTCCAGGCCCACCTGCCAGGGTTTGCTGCAGCAGGCCACGGGGGTCCAGGTAGCACTGGCAGGTGTGTGCCTGGGGGGGGAGTGAGCTCATGGTAAGGACAGCAAGGCTCAGTAGGCCCCCCGGACCCTGAGGAAGGAGACTGGTTCCTCACTGGGTGATGTTTTGATGGCAGTGTTTGAAAATCAGTGGCTCAAGACTTCTCCATAAGATGCTGCAGATGGTGGTGCACACTGTAATCCCAGCACTCTGGGAGGCTGAGGCAGGAGGACTGTAAATTTCAGCCCAGCCTGGCAACTTAGCAAGACTCTGTCTGAGAATAAAAACTAAATGGGCTGGGGACATAGCTTAGTGTGAAGGCTGCAGGTTCAATCCCGCAGTACTAAGAAAGAAAGAAAGAAAGAAAGAAAGAAAGAAAGAAAGAAAGAAAGAAAGAAAGAAAGGAAGAGAGAGAGAAAGAGAGAAAGAAAGAGAGAAAGAGAGAGAGAGAAAGAAAGAAAAAAAGAAAGCAAGCCAGCGATATAGCTCAGTGGTACAGTGCCTGCCTGGCAAGCGCAAGGTCCCAAGCTCAATTCCCGGTACAAAAAAAGAAAGAAAAAGTTAGTTCTCCTTAGTAGCAGGACAGCCTGGTGCCCAACAGCACAAGTCTCACCTGCACCTGGGTCCCACCATGATCACACAGCTCTAGGCCCCCAGCTCAGACCCTGTCTCTCTGCTTTGGCCTGGTCTCGCCTACCCAGTCCTGGATAGCGGATGGTCTTGGTCACTTTCCTCATTCTTTTTTTTTTCTTTTGGTTTTTTTCCGGTACCAGGAATCGAACTCAAGACCTTGCGATTGCCAGGCAGGCACTGTGCTGCTGTGTTAAATCCCCAGCCCCCACTTTCCTCATTCGTGGGACAAAATACCCAAATCTTAGAAGTTAAAAGGAGGGGAGGTTTCTTTGGACTCACCGGCTTTAGAGGTTCCAGGGCAGAGCTGGCTGGCTCCAAGGCAGCAGCGGCATGGTGGAAGGGTTGAGACGAAGAAACCTGCTCCCGTCACGGAGGTCAGGAAGCAGAGAGAGAAGGGAGGAGCCGGAGAGCCAGGCACCAACCCACTGACGAGTAGAGCAGGCCCCATGATCCACTCACCTTCCTAGGACACGAGGCTTTCAGGGGGTGCCCAGGTCTAAACCGTAACAGGAAGAGTAGCCCCATCTCAGCCGGAGCCACCCAGTGAGAACCATGGCCAGGTCTCTGCAACAGACTTTTCCGGTTTACCAAAATAACATGCAAATGGATGGATTGTCCTCCTGGTTCAAACATGACTGTGGGGTGGGGTCACCCACATGGGAAGCTAGTGCCCCTTACAGCATGGCTCACAGGTGTCACCAAGGCCCGCATGTTGCGGCCGTCCTCCGCCCGCTCAGCATGGCCTCCTCCCTGGACAGCAGTCAGCCACACACAGCTGTGGGCAGTAGCCCCTCCAGACCCGGCGCCCTATGTCACCTTCTCAGCACAGCCAAGGGGCCAGGCTCAGGCAGGGCTAGGCCAGGGTTGCCCAGCCTGGATAACCGGAGTTCTCCTCTGGGAGTTTGTAACTAGACCCAGGGGTGGCCCGAGAGACAGCCACACGATCCACTGACTGCTCACTGGGGCACCCCGCTGCCCTCACCCCCCCCCCGTGGGGTTCAGTTTGCACAACCTGCTCCCAAGAACCCGAAGTCAAAGGTGCAGAAAGCATCACAGAGCCTAGACATGGCAGGTGGGGACGGGAGGAGCGGGAACAGGAGCAGGGACCGGGACAGGGGACAGAAAGAGGCCCAGGACCAGGAGAGGGTGGGCTGGAGAGGGGCAGGAAGGGTGGGCAGGAGACGGGAGGAGGGGCAGGGCAAGCAGCCACACCCTGGCAGGTAGGAAGGAGACGTGGGACACTTCCCCCCCCCTACAGAAAGAGGCAACGCAGGGAGGAAGCGGCAGCTTCCTGGGCGCCAGTCAGTGCCCAGGGTCTGAAGGGCATTTCGTCTTCACAGCACCCGTGAGCAGGCGCCCCGCTACCCTCCGCTCACAGAGGAGGACTCCGAGGCCCAGAGACGCCGGGAGACCCGGGGGAGGTCCCAGGGGAGGAGAATGGCCGTCCGCCCCTCTGTCTCTCAGAGGTGGTGAAGTCCAGGAGGAAGCAGAGGCCACACGGCCCACCGCTGCAGAATCGCACCACACCAGGAGTTTCGCACACAGACCGGGGCTCAAGCTCGGGGGACAGTGGGGTGGAGCAGCCCCTGTGTGTTTAAGCAAATACTGAACTAAATTCGGTTCAGCCTCATTTTATAGCTCCAGGCTCTTCCTAAAGTCCTATGGCTGTGGTGGCACCTAACGGCCATCTGATGCGGACGAGGACAAAGAGCTCAGGTCCAGACCCCCAGGGGAGAAGCCAGGTCTGGAACTCAGTTCTCTGGTGTCTCTGCTGCGCTCCCTGCACAGGCCGAGGTCACCAGGAGGTCACCAGGAGGTCACCAGGAACCGTGGTGGGCTACCTTCTTCCTTCCCTGGGTCTCCCCAGTGGAGCACATATTCAGAAACATTTGAACACACACACACACACACACACACACACACACACACGCACATGCACACCACTGATGTGTAGCGTTGGCCATTTTCTACAATGTGCATATTCTTCCTATGGTCTGCACACACACCCCAATCTCCCCTAGAGACTGAACCCAGGGCCTTTGCACTAAACTGTATGCCCAACCCTTTAAATTATTATTATTAGCCAGGTGTGGTGATGTATGCCTGTAATCCCAGCACTCAAGAGGCTGAAGCAGGAGGATCGCTGTGAGTCTGAGGCCAGCCTGGGCTACAAAGTGAATTCAAGGTCAGCCTGGACTGCACAGTGAGACTTTGTAAATAAATAAATAATTTTAACATACAATCCTCCTGCCTCAGCCTCCCAGAGTGTTGGAATCATGGGGTTACAGATGTGTACCACCATGCCTGGCTGCCATGGTCCTGTTCAAGCTTCCCCCAGGGTGTCCTGAAGGGTGCAGGGAGGACTCAGGCACACCATTGTCACTCCCAGAGCCAGGGAAGGATTCCAGAGGAGGAGGGCCTAATCGTAGGGTCTGCAAGGCAGCCTAGCAGCCACGATTCAATCTGAGACTGATGACCCCACCGTTCGGGCAGGCGCAGAGCAGGAGGAATGCCGGAAGGAGAAAAGAAGAATCTGCCCCTGAGGGGACATGCTGCCCAAAGAGACTGAGGCACCAGCCAATGGCTCTCACTAGAAATTCAAATGATTTGGAATCCATTTGGGAAGATATGCTGTCAGGGTGTGGAGAGTGGGACTCCGGAGCCAGACTGTGGGGATCCAAGCCCTAACTAGCTGCGGGACCTTGGACAAGGAACCTAACTCACCCAGAAGACGGGGGCAGGAGCAGCATCACAGCCTGCTGAAGGAAGGCTCCGTATGTGCTCACGGGGTTCTCACTGCAGTGCCTGGCACGCCAGACACACGAACCGCACATCCTCCGGCGTGAGGCAGGGCTGGCGGCAGCTAGTGCTATTTAAGTTGAGTTGAGAAACAAAGCAGGCTCCAGGAGCAGCGATGGATCACTGACCAGAAGCACCAGGGCAAGGACCTTCTCCTCCTGGTCACTGCTGTCCCCTCACACCTAGGATGGCGCTTCTCAGGCATAGCGATGAGTACTGGTTACGCACTGAATAACGCCCTCCAGTGCTGCCTACGTATTTTTATTGCTTTAGCTTTTGTTTTCATTGCATTCTCTACTTTCAAATAACCATCAGTTATCCTAGTGAACAGTCATTTTTTTGAGGTAGGGTCTCACTTTGTAGCCCTGGCTGGCCTCGAACTTGCAGCGATGCTCCTGCCTCAGCCTCCTGAGAGGTGGGATGACGGGCATGCACCCCTGCCCCTAGCGGTGAGTATATTTTTAAGTCCATTTGAACGGAAGCAAGAATCAACCTTTTCCTTAGTTAGCCAGACCTGTGGGAATCTTCTGGTACAGTCTGGAACCCAGACGCTAGGTCCACTTGGTGGCAAGATGACCAAATGGCAGGCAACAGGCCCAGACAAAGTCCGGCTCAGGAGCAGCCTCGCACACCCCACGCTTTGGAGCAGCGGACACAGCTGACCCAAGCCCCAAATCCAGGGGAGGCACCCCCACCATCCCCACCCAGAGGCCGAGGGTGGAGGGAGGGCTGCTCTGGACGTGGGCGGGGTGGGGGGACCCTTCCTTTTCTGCTTTTTCCTCCCTGGCCCTCCACCCAGCCCCTTCCCTACCCGCAGCCAGCTCCCTGAACCGGCTTCTCCTCACCACTCCGGCTCTCCGAGACAGGTTCGTTATGGCATGAAAAATGGCTCTGTGGAATAAAGATGTTTCGCCTCTGATGAGCACATTTGCAGAAGGTATGTCAGAGATCCCGGGGCTGGGGCCGGACGGCCTTTCAAGAAAGTTGTTTCTTTCCCCCCTCCCCCAGTTTCAGGCCCTCCGCCCCTCCCTCTCCCTCACCCCAGCCCCCCCTCTTTGCTTACTTATTGGAAGAGTAATAAATATTGGGCCGACAGGCCCTTCTCACAGTTACAAAGCCTACCTGTAAGCGAGCTCAATAATTAGCAGTCTTGAAGATGATATATGACTTTCATTACCCTTTGGGACTGGAGACTAAATGAGGACAGAGCTAATTGCCGTGCAAAGCAGTTTGGCATGAATGAGAAAAATGCAGGCCCTGTCTCCTGCCAAAAAAAGGGCCCTATTGCCGCTGTGATCTCCAGGCTGGTTCCTGCCGCAGGAGTTCACTGGGTGTCCATAAATCACGGGCTGCTTACAGCTGAGGCTGCCCAAGTCGTCAGCGGCCGCGACGCTGAGTGACAGATCCCAGCCACCGCATCACAGCTTCGACTCGCTCCTTCTCTTCCTCCTCCTCTTCCTCTTCCTCCTGCTTTGCACTCGGACTGGAAAATTAGAGCCAGACTCCGCAGAGAGGGCGCTGGGAGGCCTGGGGTGGGGTGGGGTGGAGTTGCTGACCTGGGCTGGGTTCCTGGTGCCCACAGCCCGCTCCTCACTCCCCGCACAAAGCATGCCGCAGTCCTCGAGGCCAGGGGACAGGAGTGCTCCAGGCAGAACTTTCGTCCTTGGTTTGCCATCTAGATGAACGTGGCCTCCCTTCTGGCCTGATGTCTCCCACCGCCCCTGCAGGAAAGGCTCCGACTTCCTCCAGGGAGAAGGCCTGACACCAGCCACACAAGTGCCCAGGACGAGGCCAGCCGGGGCAGGGGACACCTCCTGAACACATCTTAGTCTCCATCCTTGTGCCCACCCTTTGGTCTCTCCTCAGGGAGCTTCTGAAGGCCCAGGGTGGGACTCACATGGATCACACAAAGCGCGGTCTTGCCCCTTACCACCAATTCCCTGGGGGAGAGGCAGGTGCCCTCCCGGGGGCGGACACCAATTTCACACTCCGCGGCGAGCTCCTCGGCTTTTCTAAGGGCAGACGCGTAATTAATTCTTACTATTGCCAAATTATATTTGACACCTAATTTAAGACTCAAGGTTCCACAATGCAAATTCTCTCCTGGCAAGAAGGTGGCGGGTAGGCCGAGGACGCATGCAACTTGACAGCCAAGCCTGGGGCCGGCCCAGTGTAAGTCCCCGGGAGGGGAAGGAGTGACTTTTATTGAACACCTACTTTACACCCAGTGATTTCCATTTAGTATCTAATTCCCTTCGCAACAACCCTAGGAGTCAAGCGCCATTATTGCCACCACTGGGCAGAGGAGGAAGCGAAGACCTACAAGGTGAATTCACCCAAGGTCATCCTGTTAGGAGAGAGGCCACAGACTGCATGCAATTGAATTCTTCCTTTCAGGATGGGGTCAGGGACACCGAAAATGGAACCCTTAGCTACTTCACAGCAGACATTTGGGCTGAGCTGACCCTGGCTGCACCTCTCAAGACGCCTTCCATGGTGGATTAAACCAGTAACAGTAAGAAAGCAGGGGCAGGTAGTCTCCGGGCTTCGAGCACTCAGATTCTAGCTTCTTTCTCCATATTCCTTGCAGTCTAACTTTTTGCATTCTGGTTACAAAGTGGCTGCTGCACCACCGAGCATGATATCTTCAGTCCAGCGAGGGGAAAGAGGTTAGGAAA